TAGAGATATTACGTATTTCATTCAGCAGCTGCTAAGGGAGAGGGAGGTGGGAATCCCTCCTGAGCAATCCTTGGAGACCGCAAAAGCCATCAAGGTAAAAACAGACGGGGAACGGGCCGGTTTGGGGGTGAGATGCGACGGTGCCTGCACACTTCCCTCTGCTGCCCTCACTCCCGCCCCCACCCTCCTTCCCCTCCCCTCCCCGCAAATGTGGGTCTTCATCTGTTTACCACTTGAGTTAGGAGGGGGCTGAGACTGACAGCTCAGCCGCTTCCTCTGAACATAAACTTCAGTGGCCTGATAACGGGCTTGAGCACCAGCCACATGCTGCACGTCATGTAATCACAGCCTAATTAGATGGAGCCTTCCGTTGGCTGAATGTGTCTCTGTGCCCCTGCATGCTTCATTTCTAGAACAAGGAGCTAATGGTAGCAGTGATGTTGGGAATCCTGTGAATCACCCAGTCTTCAAACACATTTCCTGCCCCTGTGTGTGTGGTCTGTACCCCAAGAACTATAGTTCAGAATAGTCCATTCTAGGAGCCAGAATCATTAAACAAAATCCACCTGTATCTCTGGACTCCCGTCACCATGCCAGAATAGTTACAGGAAGTTATAAAATTAAGTCATTGGATTAGAAGACAGATGGCTTATTGGTCTATGTTTAAATGTCCACCTGACCTGCTCCGTCACGTTAGTTCTTTGTGTTATTATGTACGTAGCAGTCGACAGGTCCTTTTTAAAGGAACTTTTCAGGTTGAAAAGCAGGACAAATTATTATTTTTTAGTCAAAGTGAAAGAGGTTCTTAGTAATGCAAGGATAATTATTATGTAGATGAAGAGAGGATTTTGTTTGTGGAGAAGAATGGAAGTGTGGGCTGTGGCATGTGAGCTTAAGTACCTCCTTTCTCATGGAGTACTCAGTGTTGCGGGGAGGTGACCCTGGCACCCCTCAGCCCTCCCACTGCTTTCCTGCCATCAACTACCCAATAACTGAAGCTGGTTGCAGGGAAGGCAGCCTCAGAGGCGACCCCCACATTTTGCACGGCCCTCGTGGTGTGAGCTAGTATTTTTAAGGACATGGTGCCCTGGTACAGGTCAGAGCTCCTGGGAGCTGGTGGTCAGCTTCCCTGATGCCTCTGGGGCTGGCGTTTCCAGGGATGGGGACACTCAGCCTGAGCGTGCAACCCTGCGCAGACCGGAAGGGCTGGTCCCTTCCCTGTGGGGAAGTTTACCCAAGTGCCCTAAGACTTCCTTTTTAGACTAAAATATTTCCTAAGACTTTTCCTCTTCCTTTCCTTGGATCAAATTTGGGTATTTGATCCAAGCTCCCTCACCAGCCCCAAATCTGTTACAAATGTGAATCAGAATTGAACCTCTTATTCCTGACGCTCAGGGGTTGAGCTGGTGAGTGCGAGTGTTCCCCTTTTCAGGAAAGACCCCAGACTGTGATGACCCATGAGGTCACTTTCTGGTCCTCGCTGTGGCGTTTACTTCCCTCACTGGCTCTCTGGGGTCACTTCTGATCAGCCCTGGGATGGGAGCTGGCCCAGTCAGGCTATGGTGGTGTGTTGCTCAGCTGTGCAGGTGGGGAGTCAGTGACACCCCTCTGTGCTCTGCACAGCAGCTGCACAGACCCTGTTGTGTGGGCTTGTCCTGCTGTCCGTTCTCGCCTCACTGCTTTCTGTAAAGGGAGGGATTCTGAACGAGTGGTGTCGAGGCGGCCCTGCGCCGTGTGCCTCCGCGCTGTGTCCTGGGTCCCGAGCCGTCTGAGGCTGTATGGGTCATGGCACACACAATCCTCGCAGCGTGAGCCCAGAACTTAGGCCCAGCGCCGCCTCGTTCCCCACACACAACCTTCCTGAGGCCCCCGTGCCATCAGCTAGCCAGCTGAGATGCCGTAAGAACTTGATCAGGCCTCTGAGCATAACTCGGTGTTCTCATCCCCAGCCTGGTCAGGTTTACGCTGTAGTGACCAACTCACTGTCTCTGTTATCAGGGACACCGGGTTGTGTAACGAGTCTTGCCCACCAGTCTTACCATTCTGCTAGTGTATCAGGGATGGTATTAGAATATGTTTCAGGGATTCCAAGACGCTTTAAACGTCACATCATGAAAATGCTTTCGGAGGTCCTGCCAATATGTGTAGTGAGCACCAGCTGTGTGCTGCCTCCCTTATACACAGGGAGCGGGACTGACCGAGCAGCTGCAGGTCACCATGGAGACACGTCAGACATTCAAGGTCAATGTCCCCAGGCTCCGAGGTGGAGGGCAGTAGCAGACCCCAACCCTGTGCTTGGCTGTAAGTGTGGCGTCAGTGTCTCCATGGTGACTTGCAGCTGCTCGGTCAGCCTTGCTCCTGTATATACGGTGCCCTGCCCCATCCCCCTTGCCCACAGGAAGCTCACTTTCAGAAGCTGATCCTCAAGTGCCCCCTGCTGCTTTGCTGAGGTTGGCTCTAAGGACAGATACTGGGCTCAGAGATGCCAGTGCAGCATCCCCAGATGCAGAGGGAACACGTTGCACATCTCAGGTGAAACCCCCACAGCCAGTGCGTGCACAGCAGCAGCGTAAGGCGATGCCAGTCCTGCCTGTGTGCCTTCTCTTTTCCCCATGGTGCTGTCCACCTACAGCGTGCCATGCCATCTATTTATTCTGGATTTCTAGCCAGAGCAGATGACCCAGTAGACAGGGATAGATCTGTGTGTGTGTGTGTGTGTGTGTGTGTGCGTGTGTTGTTCGCTTGTGCATCCCATGTGCCTCGGCACCCAGTAAATACTTGCCGTGGTGCCGATGACTGCCAGCTGACTGGCTGTGGTAGGCATTGGGATGTTGTCTGCTATGTTCGGTGGGTTGTACAGTCTGCCGGTCCAGAGGTAGAAGGCAGTGGGAACCTGGGGCAGATGCCATGTGGGGCCTAAGAGGAATAAGGAAAAAGGAGATGGAGACAAGATACTTGGTAGACACCTTGAAACAGTATTTCAGATAACATGGCAACAAATTTAATATAATAAGGCTGAGATTAATAGCCGAGTTGCAAAGAAAGCAGATTACATACCCCGAATCAAAGCGTAGTCATGTCTGCTATGAAAGACGATAGGCTACGAAGCTTGCTAGCCTGTCCACACTGCAAATAGGGTGTGTGGGCAGGTCTCATTCCAGAGGTGTGCTCAGTGCCTGGGGCCACTGGGGTTTGTCAGAGGGAAGAGGATCTGGGTGGCTGCTAACGCCTGGTGATGCCTTTGTGTGTGTATGCAGGAGAAATACTGCTACATTTGCCCTGACATTGTCAAGGAGTTTGCCAAGTATGACGTGGATCCCCG